CTTGGTATTAACTTGTAATGAAATGTTCAACGCCTCAGGTTCCCCAATTGCTTTTTGCGCCCCACTGGCTGCAAACCGCTGCTCCAGGTCGCTGCCGCTCAGGAATGAGATGGACCCTAGCGTGCACCCCGCTGGATCCAGCAGAGCCCCGCTCCCAACTCCGCACTGCGCCGCTGCTGGCAGCCGGCCGCGGACCCAGGGCAGAGGCAGATCCGGGGCAATGGGAATGGGCGATGAGAATACGATTGCATGCGGCACTATCGCGCCTGGCCTGCTGCTTCGGGGGCCGTGATTCTGGCAGCAACTGCGGAGCACGATTTGCCCAGCAGGATTTATTCTCGTCTCTCCCCAGCGCTGCCCGTTGCCTGCGTTTCTCGGACCCGCTAGATGTTTAGTGATTTTTTCCTCCCTCTTGCTATGGTCTCTGGTATTTGATTAGCTCTGGTCATTGCCAGGATCTCTCTTCTCCCCTTTTGGGAAGATTGGCACCACACTTGCTTTCCTCCAAGCAGCTAGGAGCTCTCCTCTTGCCCTGGGCTCAGGGCACCGCAGGGGACGGGTCCCTCACCGGGCGGGGTGGCTGGACCGAGCTCCCCGGTCTCTTGACGTTGCTCCTTCATCTCCAGCCAGGGCGCGCCATGTGCTGAGCCTCGACGGCTTCCTCCTGTACCTGCGCTCGCCGGAAGGCGCCATCTTTAACCCCGCTCACGAGCCGCTTTGTCAGGACATGACCCAGCCCCTCTGCCACTATTTCATCTCCTCCTCGCACAACACTTACCTGCTGGAGGACCAGCTCCGGGGCCAGAGCAGCGTCGAGGGCTACATCAGGTACCTGAGGAGAAGGCAGCTGCTCCCGAAGGGCATCGCCTGGTCTCCACGGGGGGCAGCGTCGGGTACGAAGGGCTGTGGGGGGCCTCTGGGTTCATCCTGCCCCAGTGTCCCAGCGTGGCGGGAGGGGAGCTGTGGTTTTGCTGGAGGTGCTGCCTTTCCAATGAGATGTAAACCCAATGCCTGACCACGTAGGGTCATCAGGTCCCCCTGCCCCCTTTCAGCAGAGCCGTAGGGCTAGCCCCACCTACCGGCCAAGTTCAATATGGGAAACTTCATTCTCCCACCCTAAGCCCCTGCCTGGATGGGATATTCCGTTGCTGCCTGTCTCGTGGAGCATTGCTGTTGAGCAGCTGCCATGTTCCACGCAGAGGTGGCTGCATCACTGTGGTAGGCAGGGCCGTCCCTGCAGAGGGATCAGCATTGTTTGCTTTGGGGCCAAGTAGGAGGCGCTGGGGCACACTGCGGTCGAGTCATTAGAGCCCAGGAGTCGGGGACAGAGGGAGTCCATCGCTGGCGGCGTTAGACCTGGCCCCAGTTACTCTGTGGATCGCAGCCGCAGGAGCGCAGTCCGTGCCCCGTTGTGCCAGCCACTGCACGCACACGGGGGGAACTGTGCCTGTGCTAAGAGCTGGCACAACAGACAGGAAGGTCGCTATTCCAGATGGAGAACCGAGGCCCAGGGAAATGCAGCCACTCGCCCACTGGCTGTGGCAGAGCTGGGAGCTGCCCCGGCTTTCCCCAGGCCAGGCCAGTCCTGCCTGCCCGGCACCCTGGCGCGTTACGTCAGAAGCACCATCGAGCAGGGGGCAGCCCAGGGTGGGTTGGGAACCGGGCTAGGCTGCGGCGAGCCAGCGTCACACGCCCCAGGTAGCAGGGCGGTGGTACCGGTGGGGACGCTGAGCAGCCGCGGGGGTCGTCTCACGGGGCGTCTCCTTGGCAGGGCTCTGAAGCGGGGCTGCCGCTGCTTGGAGGTGGACTGCTGGGACGGGCCCAGTGGGGAGCCCGTCGTGTATCACGGCCACACGCTCACCTCCAAGATCCCCTTCAAGGACGTGGTCAGCACCCTGGGGCAGTACGCCTTCCAGGTAGGGCAGCCCCCCGCCAGAAGGGGGCGTTCTCAGCCGGGGGTCACGACCCCAGGGTGGGTCACGATGGGGGTCAGGGGGTCAGGAGCACCCTACCCTTCTCCTCTTGCTAAGTGGGTCGGGGGATCCCACTAAGGGAGAGGCCAAGGCTGGCACTGCCCTATGGCATGTTTGCAGCGCCCCCTTGTGGTGGCAGCCCCTGCCACGGGCTCGGCGCTGGGAGCCACGGGCTCGGCGCTGGGAGCCACTCGCCCCGGGGGAGTTGACTGTTGAGCAGCTGCCCCGTCCCGCTCAGAGGTGGCTGCATCAGTGTGGCAGGTGAGGGCGTCCCGCCGGAGGAGAGATGCTCTATGGGGATTAACAGCGTTGGCTTTGGGGACAGGTAGGAGGCACCAGGTTGGGTCACCTGCCCAAACCCTGGCACTGGCTGAAGCGCTGCAAGCATGATCCGGGCCCCAGGTTTCTTCAGCTCCATTCAGCTTCCCTCCCGCCCTTTGGGACGGGCGCAGCGGGGAAGGGGCGAGGTCGTCATTGCAGCCTCCTGTCGCTGGGTTCTGCTGCAGCGCTAGGTGGTGTCATGCTGCAGGGAGCGGGGTGGAGGCTTGGCAGGGGGTGCGGGGCGGGCGGGGGCGGGCAGGGGCTCGGCAGGCAGCGGGGGGCTGCAGGGAGCGAGCAGGGGCTCAGCAGGGGGCGGGGGGCTGCAGGGAGGGGGCAGGGGGCTCGGCGGGGGTGCGGGGCTGCAGGGAGGGGGCAGGGGGCTTGGCAGGGGGCGGGGGGCTCAGCAGGGGGCGCGGGGCGGGGGCTCTCTCCCCCTCATACTAAGGGTTGGTCCTGCTGGCACCTTTCGGCCTCGCCCCCCTAGGAAGACAGACGGGTTCTTGCCCCGCTTGGTGCCCGCGGGAGGCCCTGGTGGCCGAGGGGACCCAGAGGCTCTGGCCTGGTCTTGGCGCCTGAGCCGCCGGCTCTTTGCTTGGCAGGCGTCCGACTATCCCGTCATCCTGTCCCTGGAGAACCACTGCGGCCCGGAGCAGGGGGACCTCATGGCCCAGCACCTGAAGGGCATCCTGGGAGAGCGGCTGCTCACGGCCCCCCTCGATGCCCGCGACCCCACGCAGCTGCCTTCGCCGGAGGTAGGGGACGGGCTGGGGGGCGGTCGCTGCGGGGGCCTGGCCCATGGCTCTGAGCTCCCGGCTCGGCCATCCCGCCCCCCGGTGACGCCTGCCTCCCGCCCCCGCACGCCACCCCTTAGCACACTGCCCTGAGCGCAGCAGCCGTTCCCACAGGGCCCTGGGCTGGGCACTCGCTCGGGCTGGGGCTGCGCTGGGGGGCGGGGGGTTTGCATTTCCCCCCGTCTCCAGTGGGGGCGCTCTCCTGCCTCCGTCTGCACCGCCATCCCCACCCACAATGTGTCCGTCCACCCTGCCAGGCTTCCTGCATCCCTCCCTCCATCCCTCCCCTCCCCCTGCATCCCTCATTCCATCCATCATCCCTCCATCCATCC